AGTTCCTTGACAGCAACCCAGTCTGGTGCGAGCAGGCTGCACACTGGTATGAGTCTGGAACGGGCGCGGTCTTTGTATCTTTTCCTTGAAGTAGTCCTGCTCGCAGTTTGAGACTTCAGGGTTAAAGGGACTCTACTGGGAACCCCAAATGGGGAACCACGAGAATATAGCAGGAATATAATAGAATATGAGGACCCGGGTAGGTATGTTCCTGTTATATTCCTACTACATTCTTGGGGTTCCCTGTTTGAGGTTCCCATGAGGGTCCCTTTATTGAGGCTTCAGGATGTGCGGGATTTGAAACTATAAATTCAGATTTATGGCAAGCTTCTGTAAGCCTCTGGCATGCCATCTTTACATGGTCTTTCCTTCTGAGCGCTGAGACACTAAATTTGATGAACACTGGGAATCAATGCCACTAAACTAAATCTGCTACGTCCAGGGCTTTAGGTAGCAGTTAATCATGGTTACTACGCAGGCTTAAGTAGGTTAGTAACACCCATAACCCATGTAGTAACCCTAGTTATCCCTACAATTGACCTACTTACTAAGTTTGCCTGACCCTCAACCTGAACCCTAAACAACATAGTAGCTTCCATTTTCTTTCTTCTCCATGAGTACCCTAAGCATCAAAATCACTCAAAAACCTTGTATAGTATGGCCTTTGGGCCCAAATTCCTTCGAATATGAATCCTAGGGGTAGTGTTCAGGATGCAGGGAAACCCTAAACCCTAATCCCTAACGTCTAGGGGGTGAGGTCCTTCACCTGGCGAATGGGCTTGTAGAAAGCCATGATGCAGGCAGATAACCTTAGGGTTTAGGGTTTAGGGTTCTGACAACAACGCTTTCGGCTTCAGGGTTTACCTATCTCTGTCCCTCAGATCCTTACATTTTTAGATACGTACAGTAGATTTGAGCCCTTAACCCTAAACCCAAACTGCGTGGTTAACAATAAGCAATAAACCTCCAAGCAGATACTTTCTGTCCCTCAGACCCCTTGCTTTTTGGGGATTAAACTTGCTCTACTGATATCCCTAAACCCTAAACCCTAAACCCTTAAGTTTCTATGGACCAGACGAACAGGTTTCTGTCCCTGGGCTCTTTGACTTGAGGGGTTGAAGACGAAGATGTTTGGGGTTTATGGTTTAGGGCTTAGGGTTTAGGGTTTAGGGCTTAGGGTTTAGGGTTTAGGGCTCAGGGTTTAGGGTTTAGGGTTTAGGACTTAGGGTTTATGGTTTAGGGCTTAGGGCTTATGGTTTAGGGCTTAGGGTTTAGGACTTAGGGTTTAGGGTTTAGGGCTTAGGCCTAAAGGTTTAGGGCTTTTGGTTTAGGGTTTAGGGTTTGGGGTTTATGGTTTGGTGTTT